AGGAGGGGATCTGCTGCCATCACGGCAATGAGAGTTCGCATCTCTTGGACATAGTCCACCAATTCCTTGTCGCCCTGTCGGGCGGCAAGGAAGCGCGATCGTACGCGACATGCCTGATTAGGCGGCGAGAACACTCGTGAGAGCTACATCTTCAGCTCCGCCCAGGAGGGAAATGTAGCTTCGACCGAAGTGCCGCACGTCAGTGTCCATTCTCGCGCTCGACCACCGAGCTTTGAGATGGCTAGCGCTACGCGCTGCTTGCTCGGTCTGATGCATGGCGGATGCGATGGTCATCTCGACCTCTCGTACCCAGAGCAGGAGATTCTCTCCATCCTCCCCCTCAAAGACCTTATCGCTCACCATGAGCGGCTTAAGGCGGGAAAAATCATTCGTCACCGACGGTGGCGTCATAGACGCAAATGATGTAGACATCTTCTGCTGCAGGTGCTCTAGCATCGCGTTGTCGTAACTTGAAAACGCCTCTAGACGCGCACCGATTGCCTCGGGCCCTTGCGCTACAAGGTGTTGTACGCCCTCCGGGCCAAGCAAGGACATCAGCTTGTTAAGCCCGTCCTGTATGCCCTGGGGCGAAGAGGAGAATTCATCCATCCTCACAGTGGATCAGTCTAAACGACTCAGGTGAAGATTGGCTGCAAGTGCTACCAAGTGCATCGGGGCTGCCGTAGCTTTGCGCTTGAAGAAGCGTTATCTGGGTCACCGACCTTCCGTTCTATACTTAGAACAAGCACGAGCTAGCGGATCGCAATCCGCTTACTTCAAGAGTAATTATTGCCTTCCCGAGGCTAATTGACTCTTCGGTTTAAAATCCAAACTGATTTTTGTTTATTTTATTTCCTAATTTTAAAAGTTTAGATTTTCCTAAGTATACAAAATATATATAGTAAAATCTAAATACATGCATAACTACTGGCTACCTAGTCACATACCGAAGTCTTGTTTGGGTGCCGTCACACCATGCACATCTCGTGTGACACACACCCCTGTTACCAGGGTTGTGTGTCTAGCTCGTGTGACACACACCCCTGTTACCAGGGTTGTGGGCTAGCCTCACGATATGCATCATATGAATAACGTTTTATAATGTATGGCATTATTTTGAGATAGACTTAATTATGAATATATCACCTATGAAAGGAAGTACTGCGTTATGACACCATAACGGCCCATGAGCTCATTCCTTGTGCTTTTACGCATCGCAAATTCTGAGCGTCAAATTTTCTTCTGCACGGCAAATCCATCCGCGAAACATTCCAAGTCAGCGCCTTAGTAAGCAGTTTCAAAGAGTCGGAGTGGTAGTAAATCAAGGCAAGAGAAGCATGTATAGATCTGCTGAGTGGTGAAGATTTTCTGTTTAGTTAGATCTGGTTATTTTGCGAATAATTGCTCAGTCAGTTTTTTGAACTGGAAGGCTAATGCGCGTGCTACTCAAACTGTTGCTACATTCGCTTTGCTTTAACAGATTTCTATAAAATTTACTCTGAATCCTCTTCGTCCACAGTACGTCGCTTATGGCTACGAATAACCATTTCTTCCTCTTCGTCTTCTTCATCACCTTCTGCCACACCACCATCATTGTTATCACTCTCAAATCCTTCAGCTTCTCGCTCCCGCTTGAGTTCACGCTGGCGTTGGCTGCTGCGATACTCATCGAGCCCGCCACCAGGGACTGGACGACGAATGCCGGGCTTGCGTTGTGCCGATAGCGTTTTGCGCTTACCAAACTGCTCTTTAATCGACCCTACGTGTTCATCATCATCATAATCGATTGCATCGTAGCCATCCTCTAAGAATTGCGCATCCATGCGCGACGAGCGATCACGGTCAAACTCATATCCCTGGCGCGCCTTCTTACGATTTTGCAGACGCAATTTTTCGTCCGTGATCTTCACTCGCTGTTCTTGTTCACGCTCGCCATCCAGCTCAGATATGTACTCTTTCATCTTCTGGACACTCTTATTGTGTCTCCAACGCATTGACATAGTGAGACCCTTGTGCGACTTGCTGGCTGTGGTCATCGGACGGATCGTAAATTTCTCTTGAAGTCGAGCATGACACTCCAGTACACTCTCTTGACCTGGCACAACATCATCACTATCCTGAAATTGCGGACCATCGCTCGCCATCTCATTTACAAATAAGAAAGAGTTGGCTAGTTTCTGACGAGACATCGCTAATGCTTCTTTTCCCACAAACATGCTAAAGGTACCATCTTCCCATTGTACGAGCTTAGCATTAGACTCTCGCAACGGGAGCTTTGTCTCCTCGTCCAGTAAAACGCGACCTGATACAGGGTCGCGTTTGTAGCGCCAGCGCACGTAATTACGGTAAAGTGTTTCATCCGATGAATTCTCCATCTCAGCTCGAATACCCTCTTTAGTGTACGGCTCTGGCACAAAGCGCAAAATATTCGGCATTTTGCTTATAAAATACTTAGTAGTGTTAGGAGCCTTGGGAGTCCGGGGTAGCCACATATTGTCCGAGTAGCCATTGTCTCCATCACCACCTCCAGATGCGTTACGGTCTCCAGCGTCATCTCTTGAGAATTCTTCATTGCTGCGTTGACCGTCGCGTGCGGGTGACTCCTTCACACCTCTAAGTAACCAAACAAATAGTTAATATCCGAATAATCAATGTGAGAGCTCCACCCCAGTGACGTACGAGGCTTTAAATTCTTCTTCCTCTGAATCATAGTCTGATCCAAACAGATCCTCCATTTCCTTGTCTTTATCAATCTTCTTAGGTGATATCACCCTCTTCTTGTCATCCCCATCCTTGTTGTCACCCTCTTCATCGCTATCATCGCTAAAGAGCTTATCCGGATCTGCCGGCTTGACATCTGCGTGTGAGTCATTATTGGACTTTAATGACGGACCACCAAGGTCAAATTCATCTTCA